TACCATACATGCCTAAATGTTGTATCAGCATGTGCCGCAGACAGAGTTTTATCTCTTCAGAGCAGCTCAGGGTGGAATGATGTACTTGGATCACTGCTGCTACAGTATGTTGACTTATCCAGAGAAGCTGCAGGTCTGAACTTCAAACAGCATTGGACAGCGGGAGGGAATGCTTAATTTTATAGCAGCCGATGGTCAAACTACGTTTTTGTGTATTTTGATAAGTTACGCTTCTGGACTGTTGAGCTTTAGGGAGGTTTATAGTCACTTAATGCGGCAAGCTAATGTGACCTGAAATGGCTATGTTGTGTACTCAACAAACCAACTGAGTGAAATGTCAAATGGATGTGAACACAGCAATTAGGATAACTAGCAACTAGAATCATAAGCAACTACAGCTGATGGTGTGGCTGGATAATTTTGTTGTCTTTATGTGTCGAAAAGTCTTAGCACAGAATTGGAAAATGACCAGCGCTAATTGTGATTTACTGTGGTGTGTTATTGGTGGTCAAGGTTGCTGTAACTCTAGTGGAGCCATGGGCGGTTTTTAATATGTGCAAAGAAAGAAATGATCTGTGGGAGGAGCACAACAAAGGAATGATTGTTCTTTGGGTTGGTTTAATTAAAGCTGCAAGACTTTCTGGGAGTCATTTTGACCATGGGTGTTGTTATTCCTGCACTGTAAAAATATCTGTTAATGAACAGTTTCCGTATTTTGTGTTTTTTCTTTGTTTTATTTACGGTAGGGAATTGCATGATGGGACCTTGATCTTTGCTCTGTCGACTTTTGATGTTGAAAATTCAAATCTGTAGTTTAACAAAGTGACATTTATTGACATTTTAGTAGTTTTTACATAAAATATATTGTGTGAGAAATAATATACAGTTGAAATCAGATTCATTTTAGATTTTTTTCTTTTTAAAATATTTTCCAAATTATGTCTAACAGAGCAAGGAAATTTTAACAGTATGTCTGATAATATTTTTTCTTCTGTAGAAAGTCTTATTTTTGTTTTATTTTGGCTTGAATAAAAGCAGTTTTTAATTTTTTAAAAAACATTTTATGGTCAAAATTATTAGCCCCTTTAAGCAGTTTTTTGATAGTCTACAGAACAAACCATTATTATACAATAACTTGCCTAATAACCCTAACCTGCCTGGTTAACCTAATTAACCTAGTTAAGCCTTTAAATGTCACTTTAAGCTGTATAGAAGTGTCTTGAAAAATATCTAGTTAAATATTATTACTGTCATCATGGCAAAGATAAAATAAATCAGTTACTATAAATGAGTACTCACACGAGGTACAGTTGCCTCGAACCGGGCCAAAGCACGCTTGTCCCCCTACCGTCCATTTGCGTCTTTAGTAAACTATGGCAGTTTGCGTTCACTGAACAGTAAGAATGTTTAATAAATCCATATGAAACCCTTAATTCACATCTCGCTTTCAGTTTCGGGCCCAGTTTTTAGCCCAAGTGAACTGTGCTCAGGCCCACCTCTTCCAACCGGGCCAGGGCCGGCCAAGTGAACCATGCCTAAGCCATATTCAGCGCACTCACATTTCTCAAACGATCCGAGAAATGGGCCTGGGCACGGTTCGGATTGCATAGTGTGAGTAGGCCCTAAAACAATTATGTTCAGAAATGTGTTGAAATATTCTTCTCTCCGTTAAACAGAAATCGGGGAAAAGAAATAAACAGGGGGGTTAATAATTCTGTATAGAGAACTAAGTTTGTAAAATAACAGAAAATGTACTGTCGGTCTATTACCAGGTTTTTGCAGCATAATATACAACAGCAACTCAATCCAGCAGAAAGCCCAACATTCATAATGCAATTCAAATTCTGATCAAGTGGGGGGAAAAAACGTGCATCTAAGAAATATGGAAAAAAAAACTGTTAATTTACAGATTTTGTTTACAGTATGTTTATACTATACAGTTCTGGGTCAGCATTGTTTATATACTATTATACTCTATACAATTTTCAGTTTTAAAGTTGTAAAAAAATTTAAAAAGTTGTAAAAAAGTACATTTTCAACAAAATACCATTTTATTCTTGTTAATTTTTTGTAAGTGGATAAACAAATCTTTCATTATTTGTGGCATTTACTCGTAATTCAAGGTAATGTTGATTTATCCCTGCATATTCAGATGTGAGGGGTGTGAGCACAGTGTCTAATGATCAGGAAATTGACATTTTAACTTCTACATTGTGAATGATTTGGCCAAACATTGTTAAAAATAATTGCCTCAGTATGCTGCTCTGAATCTATAGAGTCAAACAAAACTCAATTTTTATTTAAAATATTATATATTTTATAACTATTGGCATATTGCTACAAAACCTGGAACATTTCTCTGCCAGAGTGATCTGAAGGGGCTCCTTCCTCTGTAATACTGCTCTCCTTATTCTACCTATGAAATAGAGTGACAGTATTGCCTTGTGTGGTTATCCATACTTGAAATTGTTCCTCTGCATTTGACACATCCAAGTGCACACACTTTAGAAGCGATGAGTAAAAAACACTCATGGAACTAGCCACTTTGCTTCCAGTGCCTGGGAAGCAATTAGAGTTCTGTGCCTTGCTCAAGGGCACATCAGCTGTGGGTAGCCTAGGTGAAATGTTCACTAAAACAGTTTTATTCTGATTGACCTGTTTTCACCTGGATTTTACACTTATGGATTGTGTTTGAGGCTTATGGTATGGCTACTTCCATGTACTAAACTATTATTATTCACTTATAATAACAGGATCCAGGATGTACAGTTTCATTATACAACAAAATCACTTCCCATTCCTTAACAAGACAGCTAAATTAAATGAGAAAAGAATAATTAGAAAAAAAAGAAGAAAGGAGGAGTGGGTACAATATTATTTATTGCAATTTGCATACAACTATTATGCATATGATGTTTTTGTTTCAAATTAAGTTAATAACTGAAGTTATCAAATACACTTTTAGCACAAAATATTAACTACCTGACAAATGTCTTGTCGCCTATCCAAGTTTTGGGAACAATAAACAATAACTTGACTTCTAGTTGATCATTTGGTATTATAAAAGGGCTTATATGAAAGGCAAAGACCTCTAGATTAAAATTATTTTACCAAAATATATATATATATATGATTGTGCTTTGATTTTTAATTATTTAATTAGTAAAGTCTGACTAAGACTGCTTAGACAAAAGTCTTGTCACTTAACAGAAAGAATGTATAGTATAGAATATAAAGTCATGGTGCAGTGGGAAAATAATTA